CTACAAATCTTCTGTATTATCTTTACTTTTTATTCATGTTTCATCCATTAATATCCTATGTTTCATCATTTTACTTAACAAAAAACAATTTTGGAAAGCTACTTCAGGTGTACATTGATATTGTGGTGGTGTGATACAGACAATGTGTTCCAACGGAATAATATTATAAAATTGAACATTGTATTTGTTGCTAGAGTCAGGATGGTATTCCTACAGTTCAATACTGCATTAGTAACAGAATACTATATGTGTATTTGAACATTCTATTTCATGTCGTTTAATGTAAACCAAAATCATACGCTCACTGATTGGTTAAAGAGTATAAACTATATATATATATATATATATATATATATATATATATATATAAGTAGCGGTTTGATCACTTGAAAATATGCCTTTGCTTCCGTGTTTTGCTTTCTGCTGTTACATTGCGATGTTTCTTTCAAACTCTTATCAGAGTTAGGAATTTGCTGTGTAGTCGAAAATGAAGGATTTTATAGGTACTTCATATATATATATATATATATATATATATATATATATATATATATATATATATATATATATATATATCGCTATTGTACACGCATTGAGACCAATTTTGTTACTGGTAGTGTATATTAATGCGCTCCTCTAAGTTAAAATTCTTATATATTCCAAGTGCCTTGTATTTTGAATTTCTTATTATTGTCATACACAACTGAATTTCTGAAATCCCTTTTTGAATATTTTACTCCTGATATCCATCCTTTCAAAGTTAATGTGTAAGAGAGAAAGGAAATATTCTTTGACATGATCAAAAATACACACACAACCCCACCAACTTATTTGATTGTATATATAATTTTTCCTTTACGTTCCCAGTGGAACATAGGGCTTCAAGCTAGTGTCTTGAAGTTTCTGTAGCAGTGTTTATTTTTAACAGGATGGGGTTGCTAGCCCCATGCCCTGCCTTTCCTCTTTACCAGGATTATTTCTGGTTTAGCGAGGTAAAGGAGTGCGTCGGCTGGGGATCGAACCCCGGACCATGTACATGGTGGGCGAGCGTCCTAACCGCTGTGCCACCGACTCTGTGCACGACGCTGATATTTCCATTCATTCATTCTGAACTTAACACTGTTAATATTATCTAAAATGTTAATAAAAGTACAGTAATCAATCCTAAAACGAAATTTGTCCATTGGAATTTTTTATTATCAGGTGGCATAGCGGTTAGGACGCTCGCCGACCAGACACATGGTCTGGGGTTCGATCCCCGGCCACAGACGCACTCCTTTACCTCGCTAAACCAGAAATAATGCTGGTAAAGAGGAAAGGTTGGGCATGAGGCTAGCAACCCCATCCTGTAAAATAAACACAGCTACAGAAACTTCAAGCGACTAGCTTGAAGCTCTATGTTCCACTGGGGAACGTGAAGGAAAAAAAATAATCAGGTAAGGTCAGACAAATGAATGCAAAATTATTGTTTAATTGTGAGAAACTAAATGGAAAAAGTTACAAACTATGAAGGTAAATAGGTTAACTTCTTAACAATACAATTGAACCAACTATGGATATCTTACATATTCATCCCACTAACCGTTACTAATTCGCGAAGATTCTAAGGTATATTATCAATAAAAAAAATGCATTTTTTATCATGAAATACAAGCTGAAATGAAAATATTTTTCGATTTAGAAAGAAAGACCAGATTTGCAGTATAAAATGATATCATTCTATTTCACAGGTTCTCATCAGCTGCAAAATACCTGAAAATACAATGGTTATAAATAATAACATTTCATACTTCATTGTTTGAAAGGTAATACGGAAGACATTATAAGGTGAATGCATCATCAATTTATATACTGTCAAACTATGAAAAAAGAAAAAAAGGGGGTGAGAGGAGACAAAAAACAGAAAAAAGTCTGGTAAACAGTGTCAAACGTCACAGAGCAAACTTATGCATACAGAAAGAGGGTGTCAATCAAGTTTTCAAATAGATGAACTTTGACCCCCTTGAGTTGCCATGTTGACACTGTTTACTAGATTTTTTCTGTCTTCTCTCACCCCTTTTTCCTCTTTTTTCATAGTTTGACAGTATATAAATTGATGATGCGTTCATCTTATAATATTTTCTGTATTACCTTCCAAACATTGAAGTATGAAACGTTGTTATTTATAACCATTATAATTTCAGATAGTTTGCAGCTGATGAGAACCTGTGAAATAGAATGATATCATTTTATACTGCAAATCTGGTCTTTCTTTCTCTATCGAAATTCATCAAGGGAACCAAATTTCTGAAAATATTTTTATCAAGAAATACCCTACCAGACAAACACATTGAGTGAATAGCTAAAAACGGGAGTAAGAAAAGCATTCTTTCTTTTATACCAGTTTCAATATAGCGTAGACATATCGTAATAAGGTAACAGTCAGAACGAAACGAATAAATCAGTTTTAGGTGATATTAAAGTATCAGAGGCAAAGTCAAGGTCTTTCGGAAGTTGACCTCCAAGAACTAATTGGACACAGGGAATACTATGAAATATCATTCCAAATCAAGTCATGCCTGCCTTTTTGAGCTTGGAGAGGATAGGCACAGTATTCTGCTTATTCCCTTATTACTTTTTCTGCAAATCTATCCCGTTGAGTAGAGTTATAGCCTTTAAGATTGAGGTCTAGGGTTAAGGTTAGGATTAGGGTTAAATTTAGAATTATGGGTAGAGTTAGAAGTAGCTTGAAGGATAGTGTCAGAAATATCAATAGATCTCAAAGTACCATAACCTACAGTCACCTGGATGAATGAGTATATCACACGTGGTACGGATTCTCTATGGATCAGCTGTGAATTGATTGGGAGACATTTTTACAGCACAAGCTATAACTATACAGTTTAATGTTAAGTTTGCAATATTTTTTAGTGTATTTTTCAAATATCATACGATTTTTTTGCATCTGAGCTCTAATTGGTTGTTCAAGGTCACTGTGATTTTGGCTATGATAGTTTAACTTTACCGATTTTTATATAGTAAAACATGACTGCTTTAGAAAAATTCATAATATTATGTACAAATTTAAGAGAATCAAATGAGAATACCAATAAGTCAGATAATATACAGTCGAAAACTATGTTATGTTTTCTTGTCTTGAGCATTAACTAGTCACCAAGTATGATGATTTAAAAACCCCTTCATCTTAGTAAGAATATTGCACTAATGAAGCCCAAATAACTGAATCTATATACTCAGATAAGAAAAACTATTGGATTTTTAGAGGCCATACGTTTAAAGGTAACGGGAGTAACCAATTACCTTAATGCATCATTATATTGTGAGAAAATCCCAGGAAATTAAGATGAATTGAAGTTATCAATTTACTGTATCTAATTAAGTTTTCGGAGGTTGACAAAACATTTTAACAACTGAGGAAAAAAGATGCAGTGAAAGACATCATTTAATCGCATGAACTTGGACTTCTTCAACTGATTGGAATAAGGGAAGAGTGACAGTTTAAAATGAAGGTAATATCAGCATAATGCCTTCAGGAGAAGGATATCAATTAAACACGCTATGATAATGTTGCACGGCCAGAAATGTGGTGGCAAATTACTAGCGATTTACATTCATACAATTAATCCTATCTTAATCAATATCATAAGAAATGCATCAACTTGTCAATTACATTCATTCTAGCATCATAAAGACACTTCACTTCCCATTTAAATTTCGTCAAATTCTTAAATATAAAACGATATTTATAATGTCCCCTATCAAAACTTCAGCTCCGAGAACAAATCAGTTTGGATAACCATATTTTGGATATCATATATTTAGTACCATTAGAACTTGTTAACATCATAAGAAAGACTTTTGCATAAAAGTTTAAGTAATACTGATACTGTATGATAATTTCATAGTATCTGTCGCGTCAACTTGCACACAAAAGTCAGTAATTCGATTTTATAATTTGTAAGCAATTTGGAAGAATTTAAAAACTAAAGAAAGCAAAATGTGAACAATCTTATTTAGCATATCCATACCTGTCAGAGTACTATTGTGATGGTGTGATACAGACAGTGTTCTCCATCGGAATATTATTCTTACATATTCCCATAGTTCAATACTACGTTAGCAACAGAATAACTTGGCTTCCATGTCATGCCTTCTGTTGTTACACTTTAATTTATACCATAGACATCAACTTAGGATAAGCTAAGATGGAGTTAAATGGACCAAACTACAAGTGCCATTCTTTTCTCAGTTGAAAAGTTTTAATCTTATCCTTTGTTATCCTACGGGAGTGAGTTGACCAGTTTGAAGGAATTTGGAATGCAGTTTCTCGATTTTCGAGTTGTTCATTACTATATACATAACCAATAATCAAATACGTATATCATTCAGGGTTTATTTTTGTCGAAAAACCCATAGGCTGAGACACATTAATCAATTCATTCGTGCATATCAACAGCTGAAGAGGCCAAACAGCCGATTACAACTTAAAATATTGATTACTGATTTCTTATAGTCAAGAACAGCAAGTGATTAGAGTAGTAATAGCATTTGGGGAGTAAGAAGTGATGTAAACTGCTGGCTATACGTTGACTGTTGTGTTTAAACAATCAGTATATAGTCATATACGAAAAACGAATTATTCAAGACAATTTTTTCTTCAATAATAATAATAAATATTCACAGTAATTAGAAAAATAATAAGAATATTGAAAAAGTATTTATAGTGTGTACTCCAAAAGAATAATTGTTTTTGACTTCATGTACCTTTATAAGAATTAATTAAATCTATTTTAGGCATCGAAACCTTTAAGCAACAGATTGCAACAATGGATTTCATCTCACTCCTAAAATTAGAGATCTCATTTCTTCGTCTTTTCTAAATGTCTTTTAAGATGATCATTGGTGTAAGCAATATAATCTTCCGGATACTTACATCACTTTGAAATATTACCCTCTTGTAATATTGACGTGTACAGAATTAAATCAGAAAAGACTATAAGTAGTATTTAAACTATATAAATTATTATTATTTAATCCAATAAAATAATTAACAAGTGAAATATGTTAACAAAACATCAACAACAATTAAACAGTTGTGCTGTATTCTAAATGATCAATATTTAAGCTTATAACTTAGGTTTACATGAATAAATAGGTATTTCATCATCTATGGTAGATATGATTCTCCCATTCTTAGTAAAGTTATATTTCAGTTTAAATAGCTCCATCACTTTATGGGTAACTTCAACTTCATTCACTATGTCCTGAAGCATAATTTTTCTAGCTATATCCACTGGTTCACCGAATATATCAAATATTGGTCTTACTAAACCAATCATACCGGCTCTAACTTCACCACAATGATAACCAATCGACAGGGTGAAACCTTTACGATTTAAAAAATTTTCAGTGTTAAATTGGTTTAAACTGTCTTTCACTAGTAAACAATATTCTAGTAAAGCTAACAAATGGGTAACAGACTCATCGGTTTGTTTAGAACCACTCATTAACATATAGCAATGATGATAAGATTTAATTTTTTGTATATCATAAAATAATGGATTATCTAATAATTGATCAAACATTTTCATCAGTTTATTTAATGTATCAATCGACTGGAAGTATTGTTCTTCATAAATACTAAATTTTTGACTTTCAGATTTTTGAACAGTAAAAATATGCTCTGAATAAAAATTTGTTACACATATTGAAACAACACCAGCATTTTCTGGTGTTATCCAATAATCTTCTATTTTACTATTATTATTATTATTATAATTTTCAGGTTTTATTAAATAAATTGATTTAGTTACTGAAGTATTTCTTATTTGATAAATAATTTCCCTTGGTATTACATCCATTAATAAACTTCTTGTACGTTCAACAGACATAGCAATTGACTCTACTTGTATATCAGCTTCACGTTTATGATAAAATAACAGACGATGAATCTGTGCAGACTCTCTACATAATCTTGTTGTAGTTACTATAAAAAACAAGATTTCAATAGTATGCAAATAGAAATATGAACTATTACTCATTGAATCATTCATACAAGTAGGTATACATGTAACTAAACTAGGTGGAAATAATAAAGCATTAAAAAAAAGAATATATATTAAATTTAATACAAGTCCAATTAATGTAAATCGAAAATTGATTGCAGTCGGTAAAAAGTGTGCAATACACACTAATGGTTCTAATGATACTACTAAGTGACGATATATATCCTTTAGTTCAGTGTGATTTGATGGAATTTTCATACTTCCACTTTTACAACTCATACTAATATTATTATTATTATTATCAGTAGTAGTAGTAGTAATATTAGCATTATTCATAATATGCACGGGATTATCAAAAGTTTCAAAGTCGTGTTTCCCTAACATCCATGGAAGTAAAACATGCAAAAACACATATACCATAGGAAATAATGATAAGCATAATAACAGTGTATCACATATTGCTACTGAAGAAAATAGTTTGTCAATTATACTCTTTACTTGCCAACTGTTTTTTGATTTAACAAATAAAAAACATACGATTATAGTAAACAAAAGTATTGAAATCCCCTCTATTAAACTTATCATCATATTGATATCACCATTCAATTTCCAATAGCTTAATAATAAATTACAAAAGCTAATTAGAAAACAATTGTACACATTGATAACAGTTAAATCAATCATAAAAGCACATTTCTCTGAATCTAGTACACATTGTCCCATAGGAGCTGAAAATTGATAACGATGTGCATAATGCCATTCAATTTCTGGATCATTATAAACAGTTGAAAATGACATAATTGATGCATACTGATAAGATTTTTTCCATTTACTATTTTTCTTTTTCTTGTCAACATCTAGTTGTCTAATAATAGTCACTAATTCTTCTTGATAGATATGTCTACGTAGTCTACTCAAAAAGTGTTTACGATCATATTTTATGCTGGGCTTATTTATTTTACCCAGTTGTGTGGGTCTACTTTCATAATAACTCTGTGGTATCTCTAACAGATTTTCTTGACTAAATGTTAAAAAGTCATCATATTCATCTCTTAAACAACAGATTAATTCATTGAGTAAATTCAGTGCTCTATGACTAATTTCTCTTGGATTCTGATGAATAATTTTCTCTTTATATTTATATGGTAAAGCTTTTGGATCAACATAATACGTATCAATTGTTTTATATATAAAACCAGATGTGGTATATTCTAATTTGATAGTTTCACCTTTAGCTACTTGAAATATTGACTTACAATGTTCATAAGTCACATCTGATATATGTATACGATTAATTAAACTTGTCATTTCTAATTTTTGTGCTATCAATAAATTAGTTGAGAAAATATCAAATTTAAACTGTTCTTTATCCATTAAACAGGTAACAATATCTCCTGTATGTATACCAACACGTAAATTTAATCGATATTTTAATTCATATCCAATTCTTTTCATTATACGACATAATGATAAAGCAAAATTAATACAATTAATAACACTTTCATTGATTGGTTGTCTATAGTCTGATATAGCTAGATAATGATTTTCAATACTATTCAGTTTTGTACACTTCATTTGTTCACACAGATCATCAATTGATGAATAAATTTGTGTAATTATTTTTATTTGTTCTACTGTACTTCGACCTTGAAATAATTCTTTTAATTCATAGAAATTTACACATACTATACTGACATTTTCATGATAATTCAATATGCAAGAGGAAGATATATGTGGTAAGTTATAGGTGATATTATTTAGATTAGTATCATAAATATCATCATATATGTTGTCATTAATATTCAGGTGTTTGTAGCTGTACTTTTCCAAATCAATTTCAGCATTATCCTCTCCTAGTATGCCATTGTCATATTGATCGTCATCATTATTGTCATCCTCATTGTCGTCGATATTCTCTCTATAATTCATATTTTGATTGTAATTATTATTTTGACTAGTATGTTGTATAAATTCACTTGGTATAACATTGTTTTGAATAAATTTTTGTCGACCTAATTGTCGATTGATTTGATTAAAATTATGCATTTGTTGAGTTAAATATAAAAAGGTTAAATGTCCACGTAAATGACCCCATATATGTACATGTATACAAGGAATTAATATTAATATCCATAAATTTATTATAATTAATAAATGATATGAATCACTTATTAAAGTATTTAATGTAGGTATATCTCTTTTATGATATGGATTATTTGGTTTTAATAAAGAATAAAATGTATCATGTAATAAATGATGTCCTGTAACATATAATATTAATACAGTTAACAAGACATCAAGATTAACTGATAAAAAGAGAAAATACGGCACTGTAATATAGATTGTTGACATATAGGTAATATTTAATAAATAATTTTCATCATCTATAATGTATAAATCATGAAAAAACATTGATAACATTAATATCATACTTATTACATTACAATGAGATATATTTGAAACACGTAATGTAGCCAAAAAGTATAAGACACAAAGTGAAACAGAAAAACAAAATCTTATAATACGTGTTTCAAAAAATTCTAGTGTTGCACATGGTTTTTTCATAAAATTTAATGTGACATAGAAAAATGTCATATGTATAACATAACGTAGTCTTCTTACTGTATGATTTAATATAAAGTGTTCATAATATTCTCTAATACCAGATATATCATGATATAATATTGCAAATACTGCTTGAAAACTGCGTATTAGCTTCTCTGATAATGGTAAATTTCTAAATGCTTTATATGATGTGTCACATTTACACGTTACACCAAATATGTCATAGTTTTCATTTTCGATTATACTATGCCTCATTTGAGTTACTCGATAAATAACTGACGACTCAATTAATTCAAATTAGTTCACCTTCTGTTAAAAACGCCTTATAATGTAGAAAATAAGATGAGTATAAAGGAATGGAGGAGAGGTCTAGGCAATAAAAAAGAAATATTCAAATTTTAGTCGATAATATGTCTAATCACTTGTAGTATGCTGTTTGTGTAGATATGTGTATGTATTTGAGTATATCTATCGATCGATTATTAATTTATGCCCATTAGCTTATATGTACCATGTGTAAGTAAAAACGTTTTTGCGATTATTGCGACGACTGACTGAGAGCAGAGAAAGCCAGATAAGTTATGCTTAAAAAATATATATTTTTTATAATGACAGATTTAACCTATTCAGCAGCAAAACTGGACAGCAAAGCTTAACTATGCATAGTGTTATGAACTAACAGTAACCGATTTCAACTGTATAAGTAATTAAGATAAATCGAAATACAAGAAAAAAAATAACTGTTTATATTTCCTCACTTTTTCTAAACCACATAAAACTCAATACACTTACTACGTAAAATTACGACAGAATCTTAACATCACATAGTTTGTTTTGTAGAAATCATTCAGTTAATGAAGAATATCTAAGGAATGTAATACTCTTCAACTGTTGTTACCCAAACCACTGCAAAATTATCTAATTAACAAGATTCGTTAGTAATCTGTGATGTAATATAATGGGATTGCGCTAGATAACTTAGCTAAGTTAATTTGACTTAAATTGTGCTTTGGTGGTATACAATAATAAATATTATTATTCGCCATCAGCCTACAGTTAGAGTTATTATAGGTGCGCTACAATAGTACCTTTTAATAATCAGTCTGGCTGGTTCGCTCAGAGAACTGGATAAATGCCCGTTCCAAATCACAATAGCCTTATTAATTTTGAAACAAAAGACAAATTCAATGAAGAAAATCTTCTTTATCGACGAAATCATCTTCAGAGGCTGTACAGTCCTATTTATATTTACCAAAAATGTATAGTTAGTCCATTAATGAGTAATAAGGGTGACATACATAATTGATATAATTACTCAGAAGTGGCTTTAGAAGTAAAAATAAAAGTTGTAAATTACGTAGTACTCAACGGTACAAAGGAAGAAATGGTTAGAAATTTCATAAGGTTAAAATTGCTGTTGAGTGGATAATAAGGGTGTGGTGAGAGCTGTCTGCTAGCCAAAATCGGTAGACAGCAATTGACGTAAATGTTTACGTTCATGAGAAAAAAACAAGAACAAAGACCAATTCAACAAACATTCACAGCAGACTTTGCGTGGGCGGATACGATTCGCAGATATATGGCCTGACCTTCAAAAAACGTTCACAAAGGGATGACAGATTAACTTTCAGCGAGAAAACAACCACACAGAAGACGCTGTTTCTCTGCTAATAATAATGAATAATAATCTACATAAAAATGTATATCTTTTGATTTCCTCAATAAACGATCTATTGCCTGGCCCTTGTCCTCTGTCGTTACAAGAGTGGTTGAGTGTCAATTTAACAGGTGGAAAGAGCGTGTGAAAATGTACAAAAGAAACATATGAGAGTGATTAATAGTGAATTAATTATCGAAGTAAAAGCAAACTAATTGAAGTAAATTGAAAATTAAATTTTCTTTACAGGGAACGACTGGTGAAGAGGTTCAGACCAAGGTAGAACAAGAGACTGGACAAACTTTTCTGTATACAGAGTTCGGAGTTGTATTGACGAATCGCCAACGCCTCCACCATACACAAAAGCCGAAACCTAACACCCTTTGTACCATTCGGCCTCACCTTGTAGATAATTTTGAAAGGCGACTCTGGTGGAGCTACGTGGCTTGAGTTCACCAAGTGCTTCAGAACTGAGCTAGTAACTATCTTGGATTTTCATTTCGATAACCATGTCGGATAATGTTCAGAGATGAGTTTGGAAAGCGTGCACTTTGTGCGGCCAAAATAACTGGCTGCATGCGAGCAGGTGAATTTATAAACACATATTGAAATGGCCCAAATCGGCAGGTTATCCTTCACACATCCATTGATCATTTGTCGGCTGCAGAAATTGGTCCGTAGATCAGACGCAAATAAGGCTTTCCGCAGTGATCTGCATAAGCGATTCTTCATGGTCTCAGCTGCAGTATCACCTTTACATTCAGCACTCATAAACAGCAGTTTCTTCGGCACCGTCTGGGTTCTTTCAGGCTTTTGCTTTAAACTCATGTTTTTCTCGATAAAGCTTGGAATATTCCCATTCTCTATGAGGAGTTACCTGAGTCGCTCCAGTTTCGGTGAGAGAAACATTGGTAAAAAGGGACCTAACATCCATAGATATCATTTTCTTCCCGGGTACATTAGCATCACTTATTGAATCGACGAATTCAAATGAGTCTGAAACGCTGTGCTGGCAGAGATTATTTCTGATAGGTAGAAAGATGTCTGCGAGTCACTTGGCAGCAGCATGATATGGGGAATTCGTCATACTCAAGATTAGACGTAGTAGTGTGTTCTTTTTGTGCACTTTCGGCAGACCCTATAAATGGGGAATCACAGAACCTGAGGATCGTGTTTGCTCAAATAATTCAAAGTTGATAATCGATTCGTTCTTCATCTTCTTCAACATTTGTGTTATCTTTCCTTCAATTTGTTCCTTTTGGTCTTTGGGGTTACGTTCTTTTGAAAATTTGTTTTCATCTGACATGACAGATAACATTTCATCGATGTAGTCTTATCGGTTCATCAGGACAATGCCAGCGCCTTTATTGGGGCGGGTCAGAATCAAGTCTTTATTCCTTAAAATCTCACGTAGTTGCTTTCTGTGCTTGGCTGAAAACAATAATAGACTACTATACATTTTTGGTAAATATAAATAGGACTGTACAGCCTCTGAAGATGATTTCGTCGATAAAGAAAATTTTCTTCACTGAATTTGTATTTTATTTTCTTCATAAATCAATAAGGTATTTTCAGTGATTTGAAGCAGAGCAAGAACCCTGTGACAGTGAAAGAACTTCATACATTTTTTAAATTTTGAAACAATTTAATAGACCTTATCTTTTCCCTTTAGATTACTGTATACATGAAGGTAATGTATTAAGATATTCTGAAGAAAGAACATAGAACTAATTTATCACATCTGTAACGGCGAATAATTTCCCAAATTTACTAGCTTACAGTATTCATCACTCACCATTAGATGCTGACCTTCACTGCTCAAGTCCACTGGATAACTGAAGGTATGCGATTAAGTATCCATGCAGTTTGACACATTGTTGTGTCTCATTCATTTGTCCGTAAGTAATCGCTAGTTAGTTAAGCAATCATCATCGCACTATGACCGTGATCCCAAAATATATCTAGCATTTTGGACGATAAGTTCGATGTTTTGATTTGTCTTTGTTCTAAGTAGATTAAGAATAAGAACTCACCTTTGTGTACATATGACTTTATGTGTTATTCAACATCCTTTCATCTCCCTTACTGGTGAGTCTGCGTACGAACATCTATCATTCACCTACCCTCCTATTCTCCTCATTGAATGGAAACTGTTTTAAGTAGACATAAACAGGGTATGAAACTTAAGAGCGATCGATATCCCAGTGGGAAAGTGTTATTCCTGGAAGGTTATTGGTTCTTCAGAGTGTATTCTGTTTCTTGATCTGTGCCTTAGTAGACGCAATGACGGATCTCTCAAAAGATCCATCCACAAAAAACGTACATGGAACGGAAAACTAACTAACTTTTAGAGTTGTGCGCCTATCTCCAGGAAAAGGAAGCTAATTCATTTGCTCTGCTTTGGGATAAGAAACATTTGTAGTTCTGATTGCGTTGTGTTATAAATTAACTGAATTGAATAAACTCATCTCTAGTTTGTTATGTCTGCGCCTGTTAATTACAATAATGGTGATGATCTCGACTGGTAGGCTAATACGTCTATTTGACTGTTGTACCTTCCTATTCACGGAGCCACGCAAAATCAAAAAACGGCTGGCCTGTGACTGTAAGATATTGTATAATAAGTTTATTAGGAAACAAACACGATATTTATGCATTTTATTTACCATAATAAAGTCGGTTCACAACCGTGAAAATGGATTATTCTTATTGGCTGTAAATGGTTGTTTTCATTGGTTTGCGATCCGACAAAGACCTAAGTGAGACAAAAGACGATGAATTGACCCCACACTAGATCACAATATGCGTGAGAAATGATAGATCCATATAGTAACTCCATCTCAAGATAAATCACACGATTCGTGAGAGAGGATGATATACTATTTTCTTCTGGGTCCTATCACTTGACTAAGAACTTGACTTCCTAAAAACCACGCTCACAGAAAATGGTTACCCGAACTGTTTTATCGACAGTAACACGAAAGATAAGCAGTCTAAACTGGTCACCGACTCAGTTCCAAAGAAAACCTTATTCATGAACTTGGAATTCAAAGGTGATCAAGCTTCAGATATGCTCAAAAATCGTCTCTCAAAATCAGTCAGTAAGACGTTCTTTGCAGCAAATTAACTATAACGTTCACTAGCCACAAGTTATTCTATACCTTTGTAAAAGATAAGCTCCCCCGTCTGGCCGCCTCCATGTGCACCTATCAGTTCACCTGCTCTTGTGGAGCAAGGTACATTGGCAGTAACCAGAAGATGCTTTCCACAAGGTCACGATAACGTATTCCAGCATGGTTTTATAAGGGAGAAAGGAAGTGTGTGTAAAGCTTTATTCTAAAACACCTGATCGACTCCTGTCAATCTGCCAACCCTGACCATGATTTTAAGATCATCAACAAAATCCATGCTAATTTGTCGCGTTTTCTTCGTTATAGACTTCTAAAGACAGCGGAGAACTTGGCCATTCACGAATCTAAACCAGACCTTTGTGTACAAAAGACGTATGCACAGTCCCTACTTCTGCCTTGGCCGTAGATGGATAGACATTTATTTATTTATTTTGTTTATATAGTTAATCTATGTACCGTTCCCTCATTACTACGATTATTATTATTATTACTATTCTCACTCTGAATTGCTTCCGCTTGTCCCACTTGTCATCCTAAATTTTTCTATAATACTGAATTCTATCTTATCAAATTTCACGCCTGTTATGTAACATTTTATATTAGCCTACTAATCCTATAATTATGCACCTTTTCCCAACATCCATACATCTTATGAATTATCCTATATATTAGAGTAATTGTTTTGCTACTTGACATTTAACTATGATTATAATCACAAATATTTTAATTGCATTTCATGTTATTATTATTATGTTATGTTATTATTATTTCATGTATTCACAACTTTGATCCAATCCCCTCACCGGATGTAATTTCTTAAAAACCATATATATATATATATATATATATATATATATATATATATATACGATTGTACAGCTGGATAATAAATTCGTTGAAAAGTCTCTTCACTGAATATTGTGTTCTTCGGATTGAATCACAATAATGTGTAATCCGTTTATTTAACCCTCTATTCAATATGGAAACACAGCCAATCGGACAGTTGTGCGATCAAAAAGTGGGAAATTTTCTTCAAGAGGGTTAAAATCCAATACAGAGGAAGCACCTAAACCTCTTACTGTCCACGGGAGGTTACTGATAAATTGTAAGAAGTATAATTTTTACCCTGAAATAACGTTTCCAGCACTACATTTGTGGCGTTGTACTTACATTGAGTCTCCTGTGGAAACTTTGTCACGAATCCAACAAGCAGAACACAGCGGGAAGTAATAGCACTAAAAAACAGGAGTGTAAGTGAAGGTAAACCGACCGTTTATGTATTTTTTGTCACACTAATATAGACAGACACCTACGCCTTATTACACATACATAAAAGAGAGTGGCCAATGGCATTAGATTACGGTCACACGCAGAGATAAGAGGGAATTCATGCCATAATAAGGCGGGAAATAAGGCGAAT